TAATAAATAAACTGTAAATATTGTTATTAAAAACCGGTTTGCAAGGGTAATGTATATATTATAAAACTCAATACACAATGCTTGATTTTTTAATTATGCTAAAAATTCTTTTTCAGTAATCGACAAAATGACCTTAGCGTGTTGAAATAATTTTTACAAGTGTTAATGATTTTTAACTCAATGAAACAAGTCACACGATATGAAGAACCGGTTAGTATCACCCAACCTTGCACGACTGAACTGTTTACACGCATTCATGGAGATCTTACAGCTACATAACACTTACTTGAGATATTTAAACTAAAGGAAAATCATTTCAAACAAAATTTCTAAAATCAAAAAAAATTCTCAATTGTCAACAACTTCTATTTTCCCCAAAATCACACTTGAAGATTTACAAAATTAATCATCTGCTAAAATAAACCTTTCATTCAGAGGAAAAAAAGAAAATTGATCAATCAAATGTTTTTTTTTTTTTTTCACCCTTGGGATAGATTATCACTGTCTGAATGATGTTGATTCGTTATGGTGTGGTGAAGAGACGTCGACCTCTATATAATAACAGTAGAAAGTAGTCTAGAACAAAGTCAATTGAACGTCAACAATCTGTTTTCGTTCAATAGAATACAAGTTAAGTATCTTGTCAGACATGAGAGAAGTCATTTTCAAACAAATGCTTTTTAATAGCATAATTATTTTTAGCTGAGTTGTGAGAAATCCCAGAACACATTCACCATCAAGTGACTTGATGCAAAAATAATCAAGAAATTTTAACTTATGCAAACAATTGTAAAAAAAAAAATTAAATACAAAAATTTCATTAGCAAACAATTAATGACATTATTTTAATTCTACTAAAATATAAAATTTAAAATAGCAAGCAAAACAAAGAGACTCAACTGCTAAATTAATTGATTTAATCATTTTAAGTAACTTGAAAATTACCAGTTGAATTATTCAGTGTTGTGCACAAGAATATTATTATCGATTGTTTCTATATTTCTTTCATTCTCTTTGTTTATTAAATAACTTCTCTACTATACCATTCAACTGAAATACCTCAAGTCTCTTAATTAAAAAAATACATGCTGACATCAACAAAAAGCTATTAAACACTAACTCTATACAAAAAAGGAAAGCAAGTAGGTATTATATATATTGAATGAACTTAAGTTCTATCATTTAATATAACTGCAAAGAGAACGTCAAGGTGTGTCTTTGTTGCTGTAGTAGGTAACAATTTCTCCTCTGCAGATCTATCGATTATATACATTGAAGTTCTACCACTACCAACTGGTCAACTAAATTATACTACTCGACTTTTTCTACATGAAATAACTCCATTTCTCTTGCTTTGAGAATCTGAACAAGTTATTTGAACCATTTTAATTCCATTTAAGGAAGTCAAAAACTGCTTTTATGAATATTATATATTATATATCTTGAGTAATATCAAAGTAGTCATGCTAGTACTCACTTCCTACTCACGTAGAAAACGGAAGGTGAGAGAAAGGATGTCATGATGTTGATAAAACAATTCCACATGTTATTGATGCTTATAAATCTATATATCTATGCACAAATACTCAAATAATGTGTTAATGAATTTTACATGTGTTGAGTCTAAGTGGGTGGAATGATAATGAAATGTTTGTCTCATTCATGTTAATAGAGTCGTTCGAGGAATAAATCATACCTAAACCCTAACTATCATTTCAAAGCTTTACCATCATTTTGAAGTACTAAAAAAAATTTTCTTTAAAACTATTTCTAAAAAATTTTATACCTCCATGTCATTATTATTTCGTTCATTCTTATATTTGATATTATTTGCAATAATTTTAAATAAAAAATGTTAGACTATTTTACATAAAAGATATTGGTAGAATAAATTAAATTTAACCAGGACTGAATATTTTTCTTATTTAAAAAAAAAATTATTTTGTAAATTAAAAATATTTGTTGAGTATTTTTTTCTTTATTACATAAAACTTATTTAATAATGACACTTGCAAAGATTTTATAGCTGGGTATTTTTATAAAAAAGTTTGGGTAATATTACTATATTTTCTAACTTTTGTTTAGCTAAACTTCTTTTATCAAATGACAAAAAAAAACAAAAATATCTCTTTGTTCAAATTGGTTGCTTATCTTAGTATGGTCTAGAAGATATCAGAACAAAGCAAACCATCTAAAAACATAATACTTTTTAAATCTAACTTTAGATTAGTTCTTTTAACAATTTTCAATAAATTGAGAGAATCTAAAAACATCAGTTTTCTACCAGATTTTTTTTTGACTTATAATTAAGTATTGGAAAATATAATTAAAAATTAAATAACATGAATGATTAATATAAATTATTGAATTTATTTGAAATAAATTTTCAATTACTCTGTAATAATATTTCATTGGAATATTCCAGCATGAATATATTATTAAATCCATAAATACATTCTACCTTTCTATAATTATTAAATAACTAATTATTTCTGGTAATATTAAATATTAATATTGAGGATTAATTATATGCTGGAACTAATAAGCTTATGAGTTATTTGAATTATCAGAAATATTTGAATTATTTTATTATAACTTCTTATTACATGAATATGTAATAAAAAACAATATCATAAAAGTAATAACGGAATATTTCAATAATTTATTAACATACTTTTCTATCAAATGAATTTTATTTTCATAGTTATATCATGTAATTATGTATACAGAGTTTTCATATAAATCCTTTTATCTGATGTTTGAAAAGTTATTTGTTGAAAATGGAATATTGTAAAAATATTTCGTTCACTTATTTATATTCAACTCTTGTCTGGTTTATTCAGCAGTACGAATCACCATGTGGAATAATTAACGAAATATGAATTCAGCACTCATCTATTTTTATTTGACTTTAATGCAAGATACATTTGCATGGTTTCAGTTAATATGAGTATGCTAAAATTATATATAATGATAAGAGCATAGGTTTAGACGACTTAGTGGTTTTTGATCAGAAAAAACTATGATCTGGGATTAGCCTGAGGCTTCTTTAACATGGGGAACTCGGTTACTGGATCCTGATGAGGGAAAAAATGTACATGAGGGCAAATGTGAACACGACCCTCATGGAATGTCAACGAGGCCAAATAGGGTTACTTATAATTAGCACACAGTTGACCAGTAAGTTACTTGAGATAGTAAAGGAAGTATTGTTGTAGTTTAAAATGGCATTGGCATTCAATTCATGATGACCGCAATAAAATTTCTTTTTTCTTATCAGTCATTTTCTCTTACGTGTTACATTGCAATCACTTGTATTTCTAGCAAGTGTAGAATTTAGAATCAAAAACTACACTAAATACTAGTATTACTTTATCAACGTGTGAAAAAAACTGATTTAAAAAAAAAATTCTTTCTCCATTTTCTTTATTTTTTAATTTAATAAACTTACTTGGTATTTAGAATAAAGATAAAATGTTATAATGAGTTGATTATAATCTATCATGTGCATTAATGAATGTATTAACTTTCAAAACAAATTAATCTTTGATAAAAGGAAATTGTTTTGAGAGTTATATAATGCATTTGTAATTAATATTTCCTAAGTACATTGTTGATATGATGAATCTGTAAGTGTACTAAATGTAAATATTTACTCAAACAATTACTCATCACAACTAGAAAATTATTATCAGAAATATTTTATTACTGATATGATAATCATTTTGCTTTATAACTAATAAGCGAAAAGAAGGAAGAATAATTATTCAATAAATTTCTATCGATAGAATAGTTCATGAACTGACTGTATATAATCATGATAATCAATTAAATTTAATTGAATATCAGAAGGTAGTCGAGTCTCTAAAATATTTTTATCCTCCGTGACACTTGAGGCGTAACGAGAAAGCCAATCAATTTGACAGATTAAATCTAATCTAGTAATTAAACGTTAAATTTATCGATTAAAAATATAGTCAAATAGTTAAAAAATTCTATCACTATATATTATTAGGAAAAAATCCTCTTTTTATCAGTGAAAATGCATTTATTTTATATTATTGATTTATCTGAAGAGAAAAGATTGAATAAAAAAGGCTATTTTCTTTATGAATATTTTTTGAAAGCTTCAAACTAAATAGAATCAAATGTCTTGTCGAGCTTTCAAGCTTGTCACATAGCGACTTAGTCCGTAGAGAAATCAAAAACAATATCGGCTCGTTGCCAAGAATGAATGGCGAAAATAAAAAGTAAAACTTCACCCCCTTTGTAATAATCATCAAGTGCTCTTTAGACCGACGCCCTCGACAGTTGAATCTTAAATTTCAATGGAAACAAAATCAACGATGTATAATACTCTGTTTTAATCGACCGTTCATATAGAAATTATTTCTGAAGAAAGGTAATTAACGGTTACTTCGTCAATCAAAATAATATACTGACTAATTGTTTGATTATAGTAGAAAAAATTAAAAATAACAATATAGTAATTTGTCATGATGACTAGAATTTTTCAATATGCCACACCTAGAATATTGCTAATTTATATATTGATGACACTATTTATTGAAGGTACACTAATAGGTTATGAATTTAAACAATGAATAAGTTGTCAATTGAATCTGGTTAGTAATTTGCAGTTATATAAAATACGTAATAATAGTACATAAAGATATTATAAATACATATGTCAAGAATATTCAATGATAGCTTGTGAATTATTGATAAAAAAACTGCTGTAAATTACAACAAGAGATAAGAAAAAATAGCTTTTAATTTCTCTTGTTTATGACTCGCCACACCTACTTAGAATTTTCATATCTGCAAAAATCTTTGATAGTAAATGTTATATTGTATCACTTTTCGCATGTTTGATTACAAGCTGCATAATCGCTTGAGACCAAATGATTCCGTTACTCCACGAGTAGCAGCATTAATTTAAAGACGATTTGGAATTGATGAGATTTTAAATTATTTATTCTGGAGACGTTTCCACCTACCGTACCACACGTTGACAAAATGTCACATTTTTATCTCCCTTTTCTCCCCTTAGATCCTCACCATATCCGCTGACGCACCCCCAGTCGCGTGTCCGGGCATCGCCCTCATTAATGTAGCACAGACGCCAAACACATATTCGACACTCAGTTTCTTTAGCACAATAATTGAACTTTAATAATTCTAACACAACATATCATACAGCACGTCATAAAAAAACACGTCGCTGCAACACAATGCAATCCGGCGTAGTGAATTATAACCACGAATGTAGAAAATGGCGATCGTTGTCTGTATCACAGATCCACTCCGTTCACAAAACTCACGGGACTCACCAAATCACGAATTGAACGCACTGCGCGCTGCCTAGTGAGCAATAAAACCAATTCAAGTCCTATGTGGCGCCGTCTTGCGGTTTAATTGTGATAATAATCATAGAAATTGTGCGAAATCCTCTCTCATATCATCCATAATAACAACAATCATCTTCAAGATTCGCAAGTTAACCTTTAAATGACGCTTTCCTAAATCTTTATTTTCAATTAATTAAATTGGACAATAGATTGGTCCAAGTACGATATTACAAATAAAATACAATTGTATTTGTTTGAAATAATTAAAAGTTAGGATGGCTGATGAAGCAGAACAAGTGAGTTATTTGTTTAAGTAATATTAAAAACATAACCTAAATTGTATTGTTTATTTGACAGGTATTAGCAATCAATGTCAAAGAACCGCTGGATTTGATAAGATTAAGTTTAGATGAAAGAATTTATGTAAAAATGCGGAATGAAAGAGAACTCCGAGGACGATTACATGTAAGTTTGGTTTGTTATAAAAATTAAATGGAAATTCTGCAATACTATACATTTCAAACATTGTAATGTAAACATTGGAAACAAGTTTCGATGTCTGAAAATGTTTAATATTAATTAATGATTGATTTCAGGCATATGATCAGCATTTAAATATGGTCCTTGGCGAAGCAGAAGAAACAGTTACCACCGTCGAAATCGACGAAGAAACCTACGAAGAAGTCTACAGAACTACCAAGAGAAATATTCCAATGTTATTTGTGAGAGGAGATGGTGTCATTTTAGTATCTCCACCTAGTATGAGAGCTCAAATTTAAGTGCTACATATATTTACTACTTACATGATAAATAATTTGTTTTAAATAATTATATACATAAAATATAAGATTTCTGGACAAAAAATATTCACATTTATTATCTATGATTAGATCTAACAATTTGAGTTGAAAGATCTGCTATTCTTTGATTTTTTAGTTTAATCAAACTTTCTAGATGAGTAATTTTATTATTTAATGCTGTAATTACTTTATCTTTATCATGTAATTCTTGTTTTAACTTCAAAAAAACTGACTTAGGTAATGTTGTATTTCGTATTTCATTGAAATTTAAAACAGAATCTACTGGTTCTATTTCTTTATCATCTTCACAATTAGAACAAAGAGACATTCTTTCATCATTACAGTTTTTCAAAATTCTATTTCTTACTTTTATTAAAACATCTTCAATAGCTTTATCTTGACAAGTTGCAACTTGATAAATTGTTTTATCAGAGATTTTCATGTTAATCTTCTGAAAGACTTTTTTATTTAATGTACACCAATTGTCTATTTTAGATGATAAGCTGTTAGTGTGGCTATAATTATGTAGATCTACATATCTTGGATAATATCTCTTGAGTAATTCAGCCATAAATACTATAGTTAAGGAGACAATTTATATCAGATATTATTTAAAAAAATATCTTGTATTACAGCAAATTAATAATTAAGAATCTACTTTTTGAGATAGAAGTTACTATTATACAATTAAAGCAATGTATAAAATTTTTTGCTGCTTTATGAAAAGATGAGTAATTTATTTATAAAATGAAAGATAAATTACCACCATTAGCGAAATCTCGTGCAAGATTTTTCCTGGGTCGTGAAAAAGTCATCTGATTCAACCAAGTGTAAATTTCATCGAGTAATTCATCGAATGGCTCCTCTGTACTAACACTCATGACTTAAAATTTTTTCTAACGCCAGCCATATGCATAATTATTGGCATGTGAATTTCATACTAACTGTTGTCAAGGTTACTAGTCCTTTGAACTTGCAGCTATATGACCATTGTATTGCGCAATCTTTGCTTGATATTTCTCAACGTCTCATAAGAATTGCACAGAACTGCATCATACTTTCATTCCTATTTTTACTTCAACAAATTCTTTTTTTTTTTAATTAAACAATAGACAATATTTAATAATTGAATGAAAATATTAGTTGAGCTGAATCTAACTCAAAATCAAATGTTTCAAAAAAATGTTCGTTGGAGGATCGATGACCCTCCCTTCATTTCGAACATATCCACATGGATACGATGAAACGTAGTTTCTCACACATATATATATAAATATCACAAGGGTGTTAGTGAATAGATATATATTTAGCCGCGCACGCGGCTCGTGCCCGGCAATGTATGTACAAATCTCCAAAAACTCCAACAAGTTCTCATTCACAATTCGTTCCTTACCTTTAAGGAGAACGAAGTAGAACGTTTCAATAAACAGACTCGTTACTATAAAATAAACTTAAAAATTCAATAGAATTCCAATAAACTAAAAGTGTTGATTGATTTATTTTCAAAATATTATGTAAAAGTTTTACTGGGGTAATTGTACATGAAAGTGATTATATTCAATTTTACCGCTAATTTTCTTGTATTGTATTAAATATAGTATTTGTTTATAAATATTCAATTATGGCAATTGGAAGAGCACCAGAAAGTAAGTATTCTAATAATTTAATAATAGTATAAGCTAAACAAAAATGATGTAAGTTAAAATTTTATGGTGAAAAAGATTGAACTTTGAAGCGACCTTGAAGTGCCCTTCCTTGATGTCAATGAAGCGCGCAAATGTCAAAACTATCAAAAATATATACAAATTTATTTAATTACTTATAGCATTACTATTTATCATTTACGTTAATTTGATTTGAAATGATTTATGACATTGACGGATTAGAAGGGTAATTTTAATTTATCATATTCATTTAAGATTTTATTTCGACTTATTTACTGTGACACTCACCCACTCATTTGATTAAATAAGAATCCGTCTTAAAATAAACTTCCGTCTTATTAACATGATTGAAAGTTGTAAAGCCTAAAATTATAATATTAAATATTTAATATACAAAGAAACAGAGATTTGAAATAAGTAGATACTTACTATTAACCTTCCCATGATGATTATCATAAGTGTACGTGACTATCACCACGTTGTTTAGAGTTGATCCCTTAAAAACCCGACGATACTTTCTATGAGAATACTAATTTTCTTCTTCCTCCTTATCGTTATAGACTTATACTTATACCCATTTTCATTTGGATGAAACCCTTTTTTCTTTCAGGTCCTCCAGTATCTTTAAGATCCGGGTTTCCCATCCGGTATGTTATGGCTATCCTAGGATCTATAGGATTAGCTATAATTTATGGGTTTAAGGTCAATGTCAGCATAGCAATTATAGCTATGGTCAATCATACAGCAATAAAACTCCAGAAAAATCTCAACAATAGCAGTGATGCAATAACTAACAATAGTGACGATCACGCTGATGATAACATCCAAGAAGTAAATATTTTTTATCATAATTAATTACATAGTATTATTTTTAGAAATTTTACGAGCTCTTTATTAGATATGAAAACTAACAATGATTCTCTAAATTTCGTAATTTCTTAACATTAAATTTTAATGCGTAATAAGATTCAAAAAAATAATACGAAAACAATTAAATTAAGAAGTTATACGTTGTAGTTCTTTTTCTATCACAGCATCATGCAAATGCAATCGTAGAAGCTTAATTTACATTTTAATTGGAAAAATAAGAAATAAATAAGAAAGAAGATGTGAAGATTTTTTTTTTCAGTCCAATAATAACAAGTAGAACACTTGTTTTAATTTGAATTTAGTTCATGATTGTTTCGTTTAAAAAATTCTTGAAAAAGAAGTAGATATTTATAAACAACTGGAGCAGAAAAAAAGAACAAATTTTATTTCTTTGCTTTTTTTAGGATGGTCCGTTTGTGTGGGACAAGTACATGCAGGGAATTATTTTGGCTATTTATTTTGGGGGATACTTAGTCTCATTGATGCCAGGCGGAAGGATGTCTGAACGATTATCTGCGAAATGGGTGATGAATGGTGCTGTTCTTTTAAACGTTGTAGCAACACTTTTATCACCGATATCAGCATATGGACACTTTTGGTTGTTTGTCTTCATGAGATTCTTGCAAGGAATTGGCGGAGTATGAATTCTTTATCAATCATGTATTGAAAATATTCATTCTTTTCTTAAATTAATAATGATTTAATTTTTCAGGGTGTCAGTTTTCCAGCAATGCATGTAATGGTATCAAAATGGGCACCACCCGCTGAAAGAAGTATTTTAGTATCAATAATATATGCAGGAACAGCACTAGGAACAGTTATTGCAACGTTATTGTCAGGAATAATAGCTGCAAGCATGAGTTGGGAATGGGTATTTTACATTGAAGGAATTCTTTGTCTCTTCTGGTGTACTGCATGGTGGATAATGATTGAAGACTCTCCGGAAGAGCAGCAAAGATTTATTACTCGTGCGGAAAAAGATTATATCTTAAAGTCTTTAAATGAAGATAATGATTCCAATCATCAACATGATCATCATCAAAACCTACCAGTTCCTTGGGGACAAATATTTAAATCTCGAGCTTTTTTAGCTATTTTAATTGCTCACTTCTGCAGTAATTGTGGGTGGTATATGATGCTAACTCAATTACCATCTTATATGAAGCAAGTGCTCAATTTTAATTTAAAATCGGTAAGAGTAATATGATTAATTAAATTATTCTATTTCTGATTTAATATTAACTAAGCTTCAAGAGATATTTAATTAATAATTAATCAATATTTTTTTTAGAACGCTACTCTTTCTTCTTTGCCATATTTATGCATGTGGCTATTCACAATGGCACTCAGTAAAGTTCTCACAATAATGGAGCAAAAAAAACTAATATCGGTAACTTTGTCTAGAAAGATTGGAACTTTTATTTGTAAGTATAATTATACTTCCAGTTATTATTTGCCATTTAAATGGCGTTATAAAAAATTTCTGATAACACTTGAATGAGCAAATATTTGATAAAAAAATTTTTTATAGCATCTGTTATACCTCTGTGCTGCTTACTCATAGTAGCATTTGCTGGAACCGATCGTACAATTGCAGTATCATTTATGACTCTAGGAGTAGCCTGTATGGGAGGAATGTACTCTGGTTTCTTAGCAAATCATATTGACATTGCTCCTAATTTTGCTGGTACTCTTGTTGCTATCACTAATAGCTTTGCAACGATACCAGGAATTGCGGTGCCATTAATTGTAGGATACATCACAAAATTAGATGTAAGCATCAACTCTAACGTCTAAATAGTATATTTAATATATAAAATTATTTATATTATTACCTAGCATTACACTTTAATTTACAAAATAATTTTACAGCCCTCGATCTCAACATGGAGAATGATCTTTTTCGTAACAGCTGCTATATTCTTCGTAGAAATTATAGTCTACTGGATCTTCGGTACTGCGAAACAACAACCCTGGAATGAAGTACAAACAACATTAGAAGGATCTCGTGATCAAACTTTACCTCTTCAAGAGAAAACTGAGAAGAATGGAAATTGAAAAATCCTAAAATACTACTTTAACTTTAACATAAACTAAATTTAAGTTAATTAAATTAATTTAAATATAAATATGCCATAAATAGTATTAAATTATTATATTTTATCTATTAACAAAAATAAATAAAATACTTTTTTTTCAAACTTACATTTATTTTCCTACTTCACCCTGATCATTTTACAGAAATACATTGGACCCCAATTATTTTGAGGTGTAGGTAGAATAATATGTCCATATTTAAAACCATGTTTGTCACCGAATGTATAAAGAAATCGAAGAGGTGCCAGTCCTTCTTCCATATTTCTAAATATAGATGGTAATTATTAGATAATTAGCATCTTCATGCTTATATTTTTTATTTAAAACAATATAAATTACGAAGTAGAGTAATAAGTAGGGATATAACTTACTTAACAATCATTGTAATTCCGTTTTCTTCAAAACATTTTTTCAAAGCTAATTGAACAACACCCTCGTTTTGAATAGGACTCAATGTACATGTGGAATAAACAACCGTACCACCAAGAGTTACAATTTTCAATGCTTGCATTAAAATCTCCGTTTGTAATTCAGGTAGTCTTAATCGTTCTTTGGTTCTTCCTGGTTTAAACCAATTATTATCGTCCTCCATGACCATGTGACGATCAGTGGTACAAGGAACATCGACTAAAATCTGTGATCAAAATGATGAATTTGGTCAAATGTGTAGACTAGCTGTGATGAGATAATTTATCAAGTAATAAAATAACATACTTTATTAAATATGTTTGGGTCATTAATATCACGAGCATCTTGGTTTGTTAAATATAATTTACCCACAGAGTAATCTAAACTTCCTAGATATTCTTCCATCACTCGATGAACATGATTAAGTCGTTTGTGTTTAACATCATTTGCAACAAGAAGATGAGGTAACAGTGTTTGCAATGCAACTAATGATTTTCCACCAGGTGCAGCACACATATCTAGTACTCGATCACCTGCTTTTAAATCCAGAGCTAATACCGGTAGAATTGAAGCTCCATCCAATAAGTAATAATCTGTAAGCAAATTGTTTGATTAAATTATCTTTATATTTTACAAAGCTTTCTGATCGAGAAACTATTTTATGTTAATACATTTAACATATTTTTACCAAAAGTTTCCATTTGAGTTCTGCGTGGTGATGGAAATGAAGAATTACAGCCAGTATCAAAAGTAAATGGTTTCAAATGTTCAGGAAAATTTAGAAATGACTCTTTTTCTACTTTTATTTCAAAATCCGCAGCTTCTGTATAGTAATTATAGTGTTCAGATTCAAGAACATAATCATCTAGACCTTTAATTTTTGTAGCAGGTATGTATTCAAAAAGGGCTGATGAAGTTAATCCAGAAGATGGCTTAATTATTCGGTTGATTTCAGGTGATGCTATTTCCACATCTTTTTCAATTGATGTTACTTCTATTGGATCTAATGGTTTTTCATTTGGAAAATCTGGTTCCTCTTCGTCATTTTTTTTGACACGTGGTGACAGACTTTGTTTCGCAGCTTCAAAGTTTTCAGGCAATAAAGACTGTATTTCCGATTCTGTTTTATATTCCAATTTACGTTTGATGGACTTGTCAGAAAATTCATTTTCGTCATTATTTTCAAATTTACCCTTCTTTTTAGGAATATTTTTTTCTAAATTTCTAGCATTACGTTCTTCTTGATTTCGTTTATGAACTTCATATAAATCTCTCAAATTCATAGCTCCTAATAACTAAACAATTCGAAAAGTTTGAAAAGAGTATAATACAATTTATCCAGTGCTCTAAAAAATGGACTTATCGTTAATGAGTTAGAATTTATTATATTTATACCTTCAATTTTTCAATAATCTCTTCAGATTCTGTAAAATTATTAACTACGGCAATATACTTATGATTTTCTTTAAGTAAACACGATCTTATACTGGACCACGAACTTCCATAAATTGATTTATAAAGATCATCAAAATGAGCAAGAGCTTTATCTTTTGGAGTTATTTTTTTCTTCAAAATACTCTGAAATTTAATTTTCATTTTATAAAACTGTCATTATTATTTCCGCTACTATAAAACTTTATAAACATAATCATACCCAATGATCAGGTCCATGTGTATGTCTTTTGCGTATTCTCACGCTAAAAGAGCTGTTAAACTTTAATCTTCTTAAAATTTCCATGATATAAAAGTTTTCTATTTATATCATAAAACTTATTTACGAAATTTTGAACACTGTCATTTGATAAATAAATATTTATTTTAATTAATAACAAGTGTGATGAACATTGATTAAATTCTAACCTCAGAAGCTTGCTAGATCTCCAACAAGTTTCATATTTCTTGCGGTAGATGGCATTAAATTTCAATTGTAATTTTTTTTTACATAAAAAACAATTTATTAATGTGGTAACACTGCACTAGTTCATTGTTGTGTTTCAGCGTATTCGTTGTCTGTATGAAGTAGTGGAATGACAGCTTGAGCTGTTGAGTTGTATATTGTTGAAGTTGAAGTTAAAACATTAATAAATAATGTATAACATTTTATAATACCACTAAAAAATAACAACCAAATTATATGTACATCATATCTGTGTACTATTTAAATATGTTCTACATGTGGACGTGAAAATAGTGGCAGAATAATAATTCTTTGATAAAAAAAAGTGAGTAAAAACGTCAATCTCTCCGTCTCTTTCATTCTAACTAGAATTACATAGAAGTTTTTTGAGACGTAGATTGTGCAGAAGGGCTTGGCCTCCTGCTAGTCGATGCTTGTTTATTTTACGCAGTTTAAAATCGATAATAAATAAAATACAGCAATTAACACAAATGATTTAATCACATATTGCAAAGACTTGTCTCATCTTATCAAGGCAATTATTATTCAAATTATTAAATGAATATCATAAAAAATAATCTCTAAATCAAATGAAGCAGATTATTCAATTATTATCAAGAGTCTATTACGATTGTAAGTTTCTCTTGGGCAGCGTCACTTTCTAACAAAGCGCATCAATTTCCGTGAGCATTCAAGATCTGATCGTGGATCAAGAGAAACTGGATAAGGCCCCAGAGGGTACAGAAATGATCAAGAGGAAGCGAGAAAGCCAACAAGGGGTCGTCGAGTCCCTTTCGCATGACTCGCAGTCGGGATCGATTCGCTCTCTTAAAGCCCGCGGCCTATAATTAGAAGAGCTCGCCCGTAGTGTTTTCCTGCTTTTTTATTGTTATTTTTTAATTTTGTAATCGTTCTCTTACCCACTTTACTTGCAGCTACATGCTACACGCGCTTTATTCACCTGAATCAATAGCATTTAATGACTGTAGTTCATTGATGAGATCTTTACTACAAAGGAAATTGCTAACAGCACTACTATTTAGTCAAAAGTACAGTATTGTTTACTTTTATTAGTAGTATAGTACAATGAATCTATTGATCATATATTTTATTATTCTTTTTAATTATTTAACATTATTAATAAAAGTAGTGATTATTGATAAAAAAAAAAAAAAACCTTATCATATAAATGTAATTAGAGTTTTTATTTTGTATATGATAAGACTATTTATCAATTTCAATAAATATTAAAGGTATTATATAAAAAACTATAATGTCATTTCAGTAAATGAGTAAACCATTAAGTGAATGAATTATTAGAACCAGTTTATTCAAGTGAAAAATTACCAATATCAATTTATTACATTGATAAAAAAATTTTTATCCATCATTATCAATAATTTGCACAATTTGTTCGTAGAGTTGAGATTATTATTATTTTTTTTTTTTTAAATGTAGATTGACCTTTAGATATTATTTCAAAAGAAAACAAAAAAATGAAACTAAAGAAAAGTAAAACTAAAATTGCATCTGATAACGATTTCGCTAATAGATTTAATTATGTTAAAGATAGATATATTTATTTTAACAGAATATTAACTAAACAGTTGGATGATATGTTGACAATAATTTCAATGATATAATCTCTTTGAGTTAGTGATAATGATTCATTGAGAGTTGAAAAGGACGAGAACGTGACACCTGTTAACAATCCAGACTAGTGTGCACTATAAGCTTACAGCATTATATGAAGTAGAAATCAATGTCGTGCGATATGCGGTATATATTGAAGGATGACGCTTTTACACACTATGAATTCACAATCAGTGCTTTCTATGCTATTCATGTGTCTTTACATCACGCGCATGACCTTTAATTGATGCATTTTTTTTTGTTTGTTATCCAGAAGCTGGGCTGCAAGCTGTGTAATCAAGGCATTGTTTGATGAATGATGGAGTGTATTTAAATACAAGTGGCTGAATTTGGATAAATAAGCAACAAATTTCGGCATGATCTCTTGTGGTGATGATGGTGTGAGAGAAACATTGGGCGGGGAGGCATGGAAGCTGAAGGTAGCCGACTGGCTCATCAGGGGCTCCACCACCACCAGCTTACCCTACCTTCGCCTGGCATCCCCGGACTTGATGTCGTAAGAGCCCTGCACCAGGTGTGTTTAATATTAACATTTCATCCTGCACTTCCTTGCTTGCATTTTTATTACGTGTTTATTATTTAAATTTACTTTTTGGCTTTAAAATATTCACCATCTATTGTTTTGGAGTACCATTATTTAATCTAAAATTAGCAGAATGGTTTAAATGTTTTATTTGCTTTACATAAGAAGAAATGCTTAAAAGCCTAAAAAAGAAATCAATCAAAAATTTACTCAGCTGTTCTATTTTAGTTTTCTAAGCAAGTAATTGTTTATCTCTGGTTTACTTTACTATTGTACGTTTAACTGTTTGACTAGTAGTTTCATTTAACTTCTTTATGTCAGCTTTAAGAGACAGTTTAAGTTTAAATTTAAACAATATATATTGCAGAATAGCTAAAAAAAATTCTGGATAATTGAAGTTTCCAACTATTTCTATACCTTCCAGGCTGATAAATATAAGACAGTTTCAGAATAACTGTGCAAGAAACTGTTCTTTCAATTGTAATCATTTTTTATTTTATACATACTTATTCGTTGAATAATATAACGATAAATTTATTAAAAATATTTATTGATTTCGATAGACAATAATTTCCTTGCGATCTGCCCTGGACTCATCGCGTGAGGAGTTGCGTCGACTCCGCGAGATCGTTGGTGACTTCCGGGGCGAGAATTACGTTGAGGTAGTAGAACGTCTGTCGCTGGAGAACCACGTGCTACGTCGTAGAATTCTTGACGGGATAAATAATAAAACCGCTACTACACAAAATGTAACAACTGGTTCTACAAAAACTGGGTCTAAGTTCCAGTCGTCAATACCACCATTAATAATTGAAGAGTGAGTATCACATAAATTATTTTCATTTTATTAATATCATCAATAACATTTCATTATTTACATTGAGAACAATAAAAGAAGGCTATTGAGAAATGAGAATGAATTGCCAGGAAATGGGTGATTACAAGTAACACACGTACGACTGGAGAAACGACAATTAAAATTATACTTTACCGCGTGGTATAAACTATAAATAACTTAACTGTGTGTTTCTGTATCAGCATTAACCGAGTTTTGCATTTGTTAGTTGATCTGACACGTTGACAGTAGTATTGAAAGATGCTACTGATGCTACAGAATTGAAAACATTGAAAAAATAAACAGATGAAATGATTATTTTTGTATTAAATATTCATTATTTGTAGAATATAATTTCATTTAAGCGGTCATTGAATATTATAAACTATTGGTGTTAATTATTTTGTTAAACGCAAATGACAATGATGAAATTTCACCAAGCGAAAACTTTTTTATTGTAAAAATTGTAATAAATTTTTGTTTATTACAATATTTGATTTCAAACAATCTTCCATTTTCAAATACCTTTTTTAAAAAGTATGGAAAAAAAATTCTTGAATATTCTTTTGTTATCATAAATAACTAGTTTTATGTTAATAAGAAAATCAAATTTATTCTGCAAATATTAACCTTTTAAAAATATTCGTAACTTAAAATATAAATAAGTTTACTATGACGTAAACAACTATAAATAACTAAATTGCACATAGTCGTTATTATGATTACTAACCAAGTTTCCCGTTCATACAGTTTATCAAATACATCATCGACTGCATTACAAAACACTATGGACGATTCGGAGGATTCAAAGACGCCAAAGATTGAGGCAGAAAGTGATATTCCACATCAGACTTTAGGTGAAAAAGAAGTTATGCAATCAGAACAAAATTCTAATATTCCGGAGCTCGTTACAGAGTCTCCAAAGTTATCAGAAATTAATTTAAAGTCCAATAAAAATAACTCTGAATTGGATTCTGCGCCGAAGGAAGCGCCAGTTGAAGAAATATCAAATGCTGATCTCTTAGAAGTTCCTGACAAAGATCCAGAAGATGTTAGTCTTCGCAGTGCGTCAGATGGCGAAATTTCAGTGATAAGTGACAACCCAGATGGTAGTAATCAACAGCAGTTGACACCAGAAGTTAAGCATACAGAATCTGAAAATGAATCAGAAGAACTTGATGATATAGAGCTTATCTTTACGACTGATAATACATGTAGAGATGTAGGTTTACAAGAAGACTTAGTTTCAATTACTGAATCGGAAAATTGGCAAAATAATTCAACTCAGCCGGTTTTATTAAAATATACAAAATCTACAGAAGAAACACCAGTCAGTAATGGAGAAAAAACTGGAACGAGTTCTGTGGATGAAGCTGCGTCTTCCCAAAGTTCATCAATTGATCGTGAAGAAAGTGTTGACCGATTTGATGAAAGTTCTAGCACGCGGTTAAACAAAATGTGGTCTCAGTGTTCGGTTCTAGTTGAGACAGACATTAGTAAATGCGGAGTGGTTGAAGAAACTGAAACATCCTTGAGACATGCTGTTAGAAGGAATACTCTTGCGGCTCCTCCAACCGCATATAGGTAACATTCTTTTAAAATTGATCTTAAATACTTTCAATGAATTTTTTTTTTCGATATAAATAAAAAGTTTTATCACAGAAAACTATTCAATTTACAATTGATATAAAAGAGTGGTTTGATGACAATAATACATTCGTTATCTTTTTTTAAATGCCAATGTCATTGATAGAAAGATTTCCGATAATTCAGTGACATTGAAAATATCTATAAATATTGGATTTTAGAATAAACCATTCCGATTAAAGAATTAAATGAAATTATTTATCAATATTCTGACCAGTATTGTACATAATCGAGTTGCACGAGGACAGTTTCGTGTTTCATGTGATTATGTAAGTACAGTTGTGCTCTAGTCGGTTAGATTGTATTGCAAGATGAACGTTTTCTCTATAGTATTGATTCGATGTACTGACTACGAGGTAACTCTCCGTGAAACTTGATTATACTGGGAGATAACAAGCTCAATTGAATCATATATCGAACACGAGTTTGCCAATCAATCTTTACATAATTATATAAATTTAATCTCTTCTTAGACCCATTATCCACCGGGAGGCTCTGGCTGGCGGGAGGAGAAAGAGTGCAGCTCCTTTACGTCCGGTGATGGACCGAAGTTGCGGCGCTAGACGTGAATCCGGTGCTCAAACCGACATTTCAGCACTTCCTGCCCAATGGCGATCTGAGAGCTATCTTGCTCATAAAGTCGCTCATACATTTACCACATTACCCAGTAAATTTGCGCTTCCGACAGGAGTTGCCGGTAGGTTGAGACTCTCTGACAAAACACGCGAAGCTAGGAGAGTTATGCTTTCGGATATTAGCTTCACAAGTATGGTACCTGAATTATCGAGAAGTGCTGACCACCTTTGCCATGATCCACATTCTCAGGTAAATATAAACAAAATAAGAGTCAAGTAGCAAAGTAAATTTGCATTTTGAATAATATTATGTTGTATGATTCAACAAAGTATCCTTAATGATATTCAATTATACTTATCTGTATTGAGAAAATTTTCATTCAGCAACACTAATTACAGTCAATTAAGTGTAATTGTTATATTTTTTTTTGTAATTTAACCATTGAAATACGGTGTAGCTACTTAGTTGAAAGATACAATAATGTTGTTGTAAAAACTAGTTAGAAAAATAGAATCGTCCTCGAGATGTTTATTTATGTTAACTGCTAACTAGTTTATGACGCGGATATTATACTTATGATAGAATAAAAATAATTTTCCAACGAAACCCAATTATTTTTTCCATTTCCTCTACTCTTTTTATACTTGGAATTTATAATTCAATTTTATCATCATTAGTTTGTGTTTTCTTTAAATCAAATAACATTAAACTACGTTGATTGCTTTAGAATTGCTTCAATTCCCGCGGATGTGGACTGCGTACACCGGAAGTTAACCGTAGAGAGTCTCTTGGCTCTCCAGCCGGTTATTGGCCCCGTTGCAATACAGGAACAGGATTACCTAGTCCTTGTGATTGTCGGTTATCAACTGATTTGTACTCCTCAAAATACCGCGGCTCCTTGACCTCAATTCCATCACCCGGCCTTGAGGTTGTTGGAGGCCCACCACGAAGACATTCTTGGCGTGTTAATGCTGCATCTTTTGATACCTGGAAAGTACCAGCAGCCACATCAACACCAAGACCTACTTGGTCATCTATGCCTTCGTCACCAACACATCTACATCCACCTGCGGCCAGTAGAATCTTGAAGAATCCACCCAAGAGAACTCGATCTAAAGTTACGTTCCAAGGTAATTATTTTCATCGATTTTATTCCTAACTTTGTAAAATCTTAATGAAATATTTTTAATAAACAGCGAAATCGTTTGAATATTGAAGCTTGAAGAAACCTGATAGTAGGTTGCTCATAACTTTGACTAAGTTTGGCGTACTCAATGTATTATTGATCAATATTTCATTACATGAGAGATTGGAAAAATTCTTTGTTCTAAGACTTTTAAAAATGAGAATTACTTTAGATGATTGTTATCAATAATTTTATCTATTCATAAAGTCCTTTTATTTGATTAACCAAATATTTTATCTAAAATAATATTTCTTTATTTATCAACGGCCAATTTTTTAAAATAATTATTATTTTTATCTATTATTTGAATAAAAAATTATTTTTTTTAATGTTTCAGACTGTCCAATGATACGCGGAAGTCTGCCTAATCTTCGTTCTGATTTAGTTGTTAGTGAGAATAGTGGAGATTCAACTGAATCACTCATTGATGAAGCTGAGGATTACTTGCGGAGAAGTATTGATTCTATGTTAACCATATCTAGTGTTGATTTTTGGAGTAAACAATCTGCAAGACGAAGACGCGCTAGAAGACATTCAGAACCAGATCTATTTCGTGAATGGAATCCTGCCCAAGATGCAAGGCCATATTTGCCAAAGGTTAATATAATTTATTAGCATATATATTATAATAACTAATACCAATAATGTAGAAGTACTTCTTTGTATTCAAGCTTCATTGGAAACTATGTCACAACTTAGCAAATACTTCTTTTGCATTTTATTTAATCTACTTTTTAATTTGTTTTTTTTTTTTAACACCACCTTTAATCGTGTGATTGTAATAAATGTGAAAACATAGAACTGTTAACATGCAAATGTTGCAATATGAATAGTAAACTTTAATGGCCTATTTCAATTCTTTGGAAATATAAAAATGGATTAAACATTTAATTATAAAGAAAAAAAATTAGATACTAAAGATTTGTAAACACGCACGGGAAAAAATAATTTTTCAAAAACTTATTACAATACTCGTTAGACCTACAACATGCAAGCTTGAAAATAATTAAGTAATATTATTTAATTAAATAATATGGAATTTTAATTAAAGTAAAACTTGTTCAAGCCAATTTTACTAAGTATTTAAATATTTAAATATTTTAGTAGTGTGTTTTAATTTTAAATTTTTTAAAGTTTATCGCAAAGTTCATAAATTTCCTGAGAAGTTAAAAATTAGAACCATACTAGTCATAATTTTGTATGTATTAAAATAACACGAAGTTATAACCCATTTTATTTTTACGAGATAAAAAATATTGAAATTGTTATTCCAAATTATAAGCACTTAAATTTTATTTATTTTTTACTGAAATGTGGGTATATAATTGATTACTTTCAATTTAAAATAAATATTTTGCTGAGAATTTTCTTTGTATTAAATTCTTTTACAAATAAGAAATAAATTTAATAGTGTAAACATTAGTATTAGGATTTAATACAATAAAATGGATTTCGTTGAGAAATGAGATAACATTTTTCTAATTTTTTTTCTTCAGATTCCACGAGACCTAAAACTGGATCATCTTGTAAAAGTAATATCTCCCGAAGGTCGTGTTCTTCAAGGAAAAGTGAGATATATTGGTCCAGTTCCAGGACGAGAAGATGTACACGTAGGAGTTGAGTTGCCAACTGAAAGTGGATCTTCAGACGGCACATTTCATGGTCGACGATTTTTCGATTGGTAAGAGGAGAGAAAATGTTTATTGTTTGTATCTATTTGTAAAGAGAGGAACTCCTTAAGTAGACACGAAACAGCACTTAAAAATTCTATCCTTTTTATGTTTTGATGTTTTATAATCTTTATTCTTTCAAGTTTACAAAATACTTATTTTAAATTTATACTCCAAATATGAACTTTAAAACAATTATTTTTTCTTCTAATGATGTACTTAACTTCTCATGGCCTTCTCATACATATGAGATTTATTTTCTTATAGCGAGCCAGACCGTGCAATTTTCGTTCCATTTAAAAAAGTGGTGCTGGCGTGGTGCACCACCTGACCCGAACCGACGGCCGGTTCGACCGGTACCACGTCGTTCACAACACCGAGGATTCTTCTATCTCAGCACACCATGTAAAAGATCGATAGACTCAAGGTATCAAAGGATTCGTTGGTCGTGAGTAAATACAAACAATTTTGTATCGAGTATTTTGCATTGATTGATGAACATATGGATTTTGAACATGGAATCCAATTTGACTTTCAAGTCACATCAAAAAAACATAATACTCGAAGCACCTTGAAAAAATTAAAAATTATACAGGATGAATGATAATCAAAAATACTTCAATTCAAGTGCACATGGAATGGATAAATAGTATTTAAACATTTAATATGAAAATGAGCTTTGATGAATTATATTGAGGATAGGTAAGGCACATTGCATCTTAAAAAAATTCATGAAGGAAGGAATGAAAATTGTAGAGTAGAATTTTTGAGCAGTACCAATTATATCACTAAAAATAAAAGGTTATTGAATCATTTAATATAAAAAAAAGTCTGTATTTACAATGATAGACGTATGAACATAAATGTCAATCATGATACGGGATGTCATAAACAGTTCAGTAATTCTATCGATCGTCATAGAGGAATTGTCTATTTTAGTGTATTAAGAAGAATTCAAGTATTTAATCTTGGCGAATAAGATTGCTAATACGAGGGTACCTGGTATTTATGACAATTGGTATTAGAATTCCAAAAATTTTTAATTAAAAAAAATTGTAATTTTCATGTTTTTGAAAACCTTCAATTTTTATTTTATTTTTTTTTGTTTTTGTATTCATTAATTATTAATATTATTTTTCTTTTAGTTGATTGCAAAAATAATTGTACCTGGTTTATAGTTTTTGTTTATTAACATCAACTAAAATATACTAATTGATTTTCTATTAATACCATTTGAGTACAAGAATGCGTTAACGCAATACCATTTCATTTTATAGAGTACAATTATAACAAATAATTTTGTTTTATATTTTTTATATTGTGATGATGTTTTATTTTCGTAAAGTAATTAATTACTTAAAAATTACGTTTAAGTTTTAATTTTCACCGATTTTGTAATTATCATATAACATAACAATACAACTTTATCTTCAGTATTTAATGTCTTGTAAACTTTACAAAGACAAGTATTTGTATTATGTTGATTTTAAATTTTATTTTCAGTAGAATAAAACATAAAAATGAAGGTTTTAAATATTCTTTCAATTTTATAAATTAATTTTTTGTATTATGGTGCAGAATAATTTACATTATTGCTTGTAGTTTTTTTTACAGCTTAATATTGATATTTGAATCATTTTTTTATGAGAAGAAATTTCCGTTGTCTTATTCAAGGTACTTAGTGAAATTAGTCATGTCTTCTATTAAAATCAAAGAAAATTCGATTGGATTTGTAAATGGACGAGAGTAAAAAAATAAATTAAAAAAAGGAAAAATGGAAATGTACCTGCTTCGGTGATCGACAGGATCATCCTTCCGTCTGTCTTATTTTTGTGGTTCTTGAATCGCGATTGTACCTATTAATGAAGTCTATGTAACGCATAATACATAAAAATATAAATATATAAATAAAAAATATATATATATATATATATATATAAATACATGACTTATGTAAAAAATGAATATAATAATGAGTAGTCAATGATTGATAATAATAAAAAGGTAGTAAAGATGCTAATAAAAAATCAGTTCAGCAATCAAAAGAAAAATTATAGTAATTGAATTATAAATTGTTGATTGATGTTGAATATATCATTATAATTGTCGATTATTATTTAAAATTGATTGTGATTTATAATTATCAAAAAATTAAATTATTAAGTTTAAATTTCGACTGAAGTGAATTGATGGAAGAGTATAATATTAATGTAAAGATTTATAAAGTATGGTATTAAAAAAGATTTTCTGAAATAAACTAGACCATTGCTAAATGTTAAATCAACGTATTAAAAAATAAATTCAATCAAATAATTTTGAACTGTTGTTAATCTTCTTATTTAAATTAACTTGTTAATTAATATGCTAATAAAATCTTATTAATTTTTTATATAAATAATAAATTATTAAAAAAAGTTTGATAGTACTATAGAATATTGCCAAAACTATTTAAATAAAATTTCCAATCAAAATACAAAGTAAAATAATTACATAACTTTATAAGAATTTTATGTTGAAAAAACAGCATTTTTTGGGTTAATTATTTTTAAATTATTTGTTTCGAAAAAATTAATTTTTTTTATCGGAAAATTTAAATTGATTGAATTATTATTGATTGATTTTTTTTATATAAGTTATTATATAATGGAGTTTTAACTACATGGATCTGTCTAATTTATCTATACATGTGTATATAATCGTTACTATTAGATAGTGTAATGAGAAAATAGAAGGAAATCAGACGACTTGAAATTTTTTGCCTCTAATTTTTCTAGATTGTCGATTTTAATCTTGAAACAATGTGAAAGTTAACAAAACGTGACTTGGATATGCTCTCTAAATTTTATTCAATACTTAGTGGCAAAAACCAAGTGAAAAGTTATTGATTACTATAAATAAAATTAAATATTCTTTATTACATTTCTGATTATTTAAAAGTTTAACATTAAGTCACTTTGATTAAAATATTTCTTTCTTTCAGTAAGAAATCAAAAATAATATTAAATTATCCTGAAAATCCAAAATCTATTCTTCTATAAAAATTAAATTAAATTTTTCCATACGGAATTTCACATTTATTATCCATTTTATATATTATCTGAATAACTAGAAAATTGAAATCGAGCGATCTGAAGCTAATAAATAAAAATAATAATAATCATTCGAAGCAATTTTACTGGAAAATAATTTGCAAAAAAAAAATCTTTAAATTAGATATCACGATACTATGAATATTTTGTTTAGCCATCATTTATTATATACTGTTAGAAACTTGATTAGAGTTGTACTAAAGAAAATAATAAACGATGATTACTACAAACTACATAAACGATAAAATTGAATTTAATCAACAAAAAATATAACTTTAATAATTTAATTAGAATTCAACAGTATTTACAGAGATATTGATACTAAAACAAATTAATGACGTGCTGGATAATCGGCAAACCAACTAAAAGCACCATTACTTCCAGATTGTGAGCCAAAATCTACGTAATCAAGAATCGGTTGCAATCTGTCAATTCTTGGTGATGATTGATGGTCGACATCATTACGTTGATGATTAGTATATGTTATTGGCGAATAAGCTTCTGCTTGACGGGTGACTCTCTGTGACATTGGGTTCACTTCAATAATATCAATACCATCTATTGGAATTGCTAAATATCTGGTAGCTCCAGAGACAAAAGATACAATAGACAGGAGAGTGAGGATGAAACCCTGTAATTCAATCGATATTATATTATATTAAATATAACTAAAATAAGTTATCGGATATTTCAGTTACATAGATAAGCAATCATTTCTGAACAATAACATGAGTATTCAATGCTGTTCAAGATCAATGAATAGCACAATTTATAAATAGAAAAATGTTCAATTCAGTAGAATTTTATGACAATTTACTAACAATGGTTATTAATTTTATATAAAAGATTAATATATAATCTTCACGGTTTCTTAATAAATTATTTCTTAATTATATTATTATAACATTGAAATTTTTAAAAAAAATTTCAATAATTTAAAATATAAAAATTAAAATTTTATTAATATTGATATTCACATACTAGAGAAGTACTTCAATCAATATTCTTTTTGTTATTTAAATATAATTATTTTTAATCGACACGTTTTGGCAAGTATAAGGTACAAAATGCAGTGTAGTACGTGAATAAAATTTGTAAAAGGCGCATTGAATTCACAATGTATATGATATATAGCAAACTGTGACCTAATTCTTTAGTATTTTAATATTAAAACTGCATATTCTATTTTGTTTGAAATATAAAGATCGTTTGGTGCCAGAAATATATATATTTAAATATGTAATTATGTTATCTAGCCACAGAATATTTCAACTATAAATTTTTAACTGAAGAAATTAAATACAACCAACTCCACTCGATTAATATCTTTATTGTAGCATAGAGGACACGTTGTAATTCCCTTAGCACGGATGTCGTTTATCGAATAATGTAAGAGATAAGTCAATTAAAATTGCCTTGATAAATTAATACTGCAGTATGCGTATGATCTAGACTATGTTCTGAAGAGAGACTTTTCGTAATTAATTTAATTTCCAACAGGAAAGGGTGATTGATTGTTAATATTCTCAAAGTCACTTAAAAAAATTATAAACGTTTATTTACCAGAGAATTCATGATGGTGTAGTTACGTTGATGTTGAAGTAATCAAACTAACTGACAATCCAGTCTAGAAGTACATTTTATATGTATTTATACAATCTGCTTTGTCACCACAGCTTTCTCGAAGTTCCTTTATACTTTACACTTTATATTGACGCGATCCAGACTTTTTTACGGCTCGTTCCGCTTCCAATGAAAATTGTAGAGTAGATACGATCAGTAACCACAAGAAAAAAATTTTCAAACAGATCTTATATTGAAAATTGAGTAGACACACTTCCGATTATAGTATTCATTTCTCAATTAACTGAATTAGAAACATCACTTAATAAATTTTGACGTGAGAAAGTAAAAATAATTGATTACGTTTTTATTTCTTCAATTCATTCTTTAATTACATTTTTACTTATTTTGTTCTAGTGATATAAAATAATATAATATTATAAACGAAAAAGGTGAAATAGTTATCGGTAATGAGCAATTTTTTTTTAGATTATTTTATTTGATAACATAGTACTTTATAATAAACATTTTTGACTATTAATCTCAGTATGTACATCTCTATATTTATATTCTGAAAGAGATAATATTCACAACTCAGATGAAACAAAAAAACAGTCATAAAACTCTTTTTTAAAGAGTGAAATAATAAATACGTATTTTTGACATTTTAACTTATAATTATTAATAATACTTATATGTATGATAATAAAAAACTTAAGTCGACAACGATTTGTTGATGTTTAAAAAAAAAGGATAGAAAAAAAAACTGAAAATCAATATTGAGGTATATACATATAATTGTTATGAGTTGGAAATAAAAACTTCAACTATTACTTTCTTGTTAGCATATAAAAATACATTTCTATTCAATCTCTGCGCAATCTCTAAGTAGCGATTGAGAAAATATTAAGGCACGAACAATTGTTATCTAAGAGTCAGAGAAAACATCACTGTAACTTTCTCGAAAATAAATATTATTTATAACTTTAGACAAAAGAAAAAAAAACGAAAAAAAAATATATAAATATTTTGAGATTCTTTAACAACCTTTAACCAAGTTCAAATTCATCTGAATCTGCACTATTATCACTATCTATAACTGAAGGATCAAAAACAGGTATTTTATCACCATTTTCATGGCTATCAGATTTCTTTTCAGCATTAATAAATTCCACTGTTTGTTCATGACGTGGTGTTACCAGATCAATTTCTTCAATGACTTTGGATTTTTTAGTTTTGATTGGAGTAGTTAAGTCAATGAGTTCGTTTGTAGGCTTCTTATCTTGCTGAGGACTAACTTCAACAGAAGAAATGCTAGATATAGAAGCATTAGGAGTAGAATCTTGAGCTACTGCTGTACTTGTTGGAAAATCATGTTTAGACAGCGATAATGTTGAACTGGAAGCAGACCAAGTACCTTCCTCAGCGATAGCGAAAGTATCAACAATCAACTGCTTGCCAATATTTATCTCCTAAACAAAGGAATAATGTTAAGTAATGTCAAGTTTGATCAATTAAGTACTATAAATATAAATAACAAACTAACGTAAACTTTGAGTTTAAATTTCTATTTTATGAAAACAATCATATCTTTAGCAAAAATGTATATGTAAAAACAAAACATATTTATTTATTTCCTTAAATCATGTCTGTCAGATATTAATAATAAAAAAGAATCATTTATAATTTTTCAAATAATTTAGTTATTTTACCTGGTTATCATTACTCTTATCAAATAATTCCATACACGGTATTGGTGAACCTTCCCTCCTCGATTTGCCTTGACCAAGTACTCTTTCTTTATATCCGCAGACTTTCGCAGTAAGAACTTTCCACTGAGCAGCCCAAGTTAAAACGTCAAATCGATTACATGCTTCTTGGCTCCATTCATCGTCTCTGAAATTCAGGAAAAAAATAAACTAGAGTAAACATTTACCGTTTCATAAATATTTAAAAGGAATTTACTAGCAAAATATATGTACAATGAATTTTCTAGGTCAAACAAAATTCATTACAAGTCAGTTCTGAAATGTTGCAATAAGGTGCTTCTACAATTTTTGAATATATGAATTACTGAATAATTTTTACTTAAAACGTCATAAAATATCAACATTTGATGAATATACTCTAGTGTTATATTTAGTAGTTGATCAAAAATTGGGCATTCATCATTCTATCCACTGAATGTTTACAAAGAACATTTACCTATGAACGATCTATCTAAAGCGTAAATTGTGTATCACAATGTCGAAGCTTGTTAAGCGCATACTGCATCTATAAAGAGTCATTGAGATCTCAGAAAGCATAGTTGTATCAGAAGACTTACTCATGCATTTAAAATTGACGTGAAGATCAATCATAAATTTATTTGGAGTCTTAAAGAAGGTATGTCAAGTTAGTAAAAAACTTTAGAAACTTTTATAGTTTGAATCAATGATATGCTTGATATTCTTGGAGAAATTCTGATTTAAGATTAATGATAATCGATTTTGTAGGCTGGCAAATTCCTATTTCTGAGATAGTTTCCGTCGAGAAATAGTCGAGTTGAATGGTCTATATGTTCACTGTAATATTGATAAAGATAATTATTGGACTGTTAATTACTTCACTTTACTGAAAACTCAGAGCAATATCGTGTTTTCAGTTATTACTATTACATATAGACTATTCCAATTAAACTTTAAAGAAGCTCTTGGTTTTTATTTACCTCTCAATATTCAATGAAGGTCTATCAATTCTTAACAACGTATATGCAGTAGAAACATGCATGTTTGGTCAGACGTAATTGTATTCAATCTAGAATAAGAGTAATACTTTCGAATCAACCCTTTTTCATCATTTAAAAACTTTCATGTTGATTACTTTGTTAATAATTACAAAATTAATAGCTATGTATTTAATTTAAAATAATGAGGTTTAAGTAACATAATTGATGTAAATAATTAGTTGAAAAATTAAACAAAAATATTTATAAAATTTTTAGTTAAACATTATGTAATTAGAATGATGATTTATTTAATTGTCTAGGAAAGTAGAACTGAAAAGATTTAGAATGTCTGATAAGCTAAGCACAGGTTTGGCTTTATGAGCAAAATCATTTCAACTAACTTCGTTAGCTTATTTGAAAAACAGTAATTATTACGTGCATACTACCGACTTCATTAACGATCTGTCGAAAGTACAATTATAGTTTTTCGTTACCAAACAATTGCCTGACAGTACAAATTAAAGAATATCTGTACGGTAGAAATAATGTTCATGAAAACAGTGGGCATATAAAGTCGCATCATACTTTTATATTTTTAATGAATAATAAGGAAGTAAATAACAATAAAATTTGATGTAATTTAATTATAACTTTTTTTTTGTACGAGAATTGAAAAATTATTGAACTAACAAAATTCATTAATCAAAGAAGATGAAAGGTACTTGTTAAAAATTAAAATTAGAAAAGAAGTATTCTGGATGATTGAGTTGTTGATCAATACTCAAATTATTTTGTAATGTTAGGGAGATGATATAGAAATAATGAGAATTACAAAGATCAGATTCAGGTCAAGAATACTTTAACTGTTTTCCATTCTCCTTCTTTATTCAAGGCAAACAACATGGAAAATGGCGCAAACTTGTTCTACAATTTGATGATAGTCAATTACCTTTACAGAAGACAGTTTATCAGCAAATTAAAGTGAGATGGAACTTTTGGTACCAACTATCTCAGATGTTGTATTCAAGTATTCGTGGTTAATAAAAAATTATAAGAAAACAATAGCAAAAAAAAGTTGTATAGACAGTCCTCCCTTTGATCTAAAAGTAAATGGAATTTTTATCTCATGGAATTTATCGATTAGATTTTGGAAGAATCCGGAAGGTAAGTATATTCAAATATCTATTGATTTCACAAAGAAAAAAGAAAAGATGAGCCAATAGTGTGCTACACAATAACTTAATAATTCAATATCTTATATGTATAAAGTTGACTTTGTTGTAGGAAAACGTATAAAAAATCCAATTGTTTTATGTCTAAATATTCTCAACTGTGGTATGAATGATGTTGAACAGATAAAAATTAGATTTCAATTTGCGGTGTTCAATGCCGAACTCAATAGTTTGGAGTATTGTCATGTCAGTCGAACAATTCTAGAGCTTAAATCAACGTCAAATATTATTTCTCTTGGATATCGAGATCTTTCAATTTTTGATAGACATTTACAGAAAAATGGTGAATTAACGTTAATGGTAAAAATACAATTAGTACAAAGCGAAAGTGAGAAGCAATGTTTAACTCAAGTAAATAAGACTACTTTATAGACAGTTCTTGTAAAGTCTTTTGTTATTTTATGACCGAAATTGTTTTGCTTTTATAGGACATACCAAAATCATCAAAACATTCTAAAGGTGCAGACACTAGGTTAATGAGCGATGGGAATTGTTGGGAGGAAATGCCAGCTTTGGAATGCAAGTAATGTCATCACACAAAATACCAATATACTATCAAACGTCAATAGTGACTAATAACCTAGAAGATGGACACTTTTCGCTATGATACAACTATTCATGTATCAACGAAATTATTTATGCAACTAAATATTATTAATAAGGATGACTTTAGACGTAAATTTACTTCATTTCATAAAAATATAAATATTATGAATGATTTAACATTATGAAATAAGGGTAAATAATTTCTAAAGTTTACGTGATGGATAAAATTTAAGTAATAAAGTGTTAATCGTTTTCAATAAGTTTGATGAAACAACTGTTCCTTATAAATTCAAAAATACTTACTTGGGTTTCACATTTGCAAGACAACACTCAATAGCTTGTAGACGTAAGCTTAAGAAATCTGTTCGGAGTTCCAAAATATTATTTTCATCAACGAATTCATTATCACCATAATCGACAAAATATACTTCATATAATCCATTTTCCATTAATGTAATAACTTCCGCTCGATACCAGCAATTATCAAAACTGAATTTAGCTGCTACCATTTGGCCGACAGAGATCTGTAAAACATCAAATTTGATTTTATATTAAATAAGTATTTATAGATAAGAATATTAATAAATTAAAATCTGAGCTTTGTAATTTTTTAAGATTGAAAAAATCAACTTACATCTTTCAAGATGTGTATTTCTCTATTATCTTCATTGTTATAATAAGCAGTCATATTTTCAACGAGTGAATCCAAAGCTAAAGTACCTTCTCCAACTACTTGAACCCAGAATCGACTAGGACTCTCTACAGCACTAACATAAACTTCCATAACACCTTCTTGAGCAATAGCAGAAGATTCCAATTGTTTGGGTGAATTTTTTGGAGTCTTAGTATTGGCTGTATCACGAGGAAGATTTTTACTACGAGGTGATCTTGTAGATCGAGCAAGTTTAAGTTGTTCAATAGCACTTTTGGTTTCTCTATCTAAATCTTCAAGTGTTGAAACTGCTTCAGCAATATGTTCAGCTGTTCCTTTAATAATAATTCGCCTAGGTTCATCAGTACTATTATAATATTTCTTTTCTAAGATAATTTTTGTGTTTGTTTCAGATTGAATAGTATTCACAAGCATTCCTTTTTGTTCAAGAAGTTTTGAAATTGTTGTTGAAGAAATAAACATTTCATAAGTCTCAATAATTGGCATATCAGCGATGAGATTTTGAATCATGACTTCTGCTAATTTTATAGCCTCAACAGTTCCTTTAATTCTACAGATTCTTTCTGGACATTCAGAATCATCTTTATCGAATCTAATACGTGTAGAAGTACGTTCTTCAATGTCTTTAATTGTAGCTCCTCCACGTCCTATAACTGCTGGAACAAATTGTCTCAATATTTTTATCTCGTATGTCACATTTTTCACCTCTCTTAAAGAAATCGGTTTTTTGTTTTCTTCTTCATCCTGAAAAACCATAATAAATATTGTTTACAAATCGTAACAATAGACATTTAGTTTTTGTATTCATTACAGTCAATTGTTTTCTCTTAAACTTTTCTATGAGATGAAAAAGTTTCTAGTTTACTCCGAATTAATTTAGAACTTGAGAAAAAGTTTTTTTAAGATATTCTTACGTAATAAAACCATGTTAATTGGAGTATGTAAATAGAAACGAAACATGTTCATGATGAACATAAATAATTATTAAACTGAATTATAGATTTTTGCAATGTGACATTATCTATTAAGTAAATATTATTATGACTTACCTTTTTTTTGTATAAAAAATAGAATAAACCCACACAGACACCTGTTAACGATATTCCCAAGACTATAGGCAAAACGATATGATTTGAAATTAACTTCATTTTTACCTAAAAAAATGTATTAATATGATTAATAATTATTTCTTGGAACACTCGAATTAGATGACATCATTTTTTTTCTTCTAAATGCTTTTATAATCTACTATGATGTAATCCGCGAAAAATTTTAGCGCACTAACCTCAAAGCACTCATTTACAACATCGATGTATTTAATTTTTTAAATTAATGGTTATAATTAATTTTGTCAATTTGAAATATTTAATAAATACTTACATTTATAAACTAAAAAAGTATTTTTATACAAAAAAAATAATAGAAAATAAAAAACAAAAACGTGAGTGCGATGTACTTTATTGTATTCTAATACACATTTAAATTGCAATGTTGGTGAGTCTGAATTAGAGATGTAGTTTGATTCTCGATCTTTTGAAGAATCGATTTTTTTGTATCGATTATTTCAGATCGATTTTCTGCTATTCCCGGGAAAAAACTATCAGATCTGCTTAGATCTAATTTGATCAAATCAGATCTACTTATATCTTGACAAATCTGTTATTTTAAGTGTATTGACATGATTATGCATGATGGGGAACAATCATATTTTATCAGACCCGGTCTTGTTATGTGGTTCAATGCAATTTGATCTGATCGAATTGGGGGCAGAACCTGCCAGATCTGACGACATTGTCTTGACCGCAATTTCATGTCTATTAAGATATAACCAGATCTAATAGAACATGCTATCAAATTTATTTAGACCTGACTTTTATCAATTGACATAATTTCAGCTGGTCAGATCTTACTATTCATGAAATTCATTTTAATCAGACCTGGTTCATGTAAATTTACTACAGTCTGATATGGTCAGATCTAGCCACATCTGACCAGATCTGCTTAGATGTGTGTTCGAATTTGAAAAACAGGAACTTTAATCACTTTAAACATGTTACATACATATATTTTTACGTACTTTATTCAATACATGAGGACATTTACAAATAAAATTATCCACTTGGATCATGTGACTTATATTAATAATATTTCTTACATTTATTAATTTATAATCATCAGTCTCTACAATAGGGAGTATGAAATGTAATTTTGTCATAGATTCTTGATGAATTAATAGCCGGTGTTGTTGAATAGAAACTTTTTAAAAATGAAGTACAATTCATTATCAATTTCTAAAAAAGTATCTAATTACACCATACATTTCTTCGTATTCATATGTACTCAACTTAATTGTGTAACTATTTGTTTTAATTTGTTTGTAAATTTCTGTTGTATAAATGTGTCTATCAATTTCCATCCGGGAGTATATATTTATATTTATTAAATTTAGATGATTTAAATTCAAAATTTGTAGCTCAAGATCATTCATTCGAATATTACATGTCTTTATCTTATTCATAAGTCTATACTTGTTTTTTTATGTATATTTCCAGCTGATACGTTCAGATCATTATGTATTTTATTTTTTAGAGCATGTATACCTGAGCTAATTTCAAATTTTTCATCAGCTCTTCACCAAGATGTTTCGAACCGTGGAGACTTTTCGCGATGATTCCATTATAATTTTCAAACGGAAATGCAGATGATGACCATAATGGTCCCCAACGTCGAACACATAATACAAGGTGTGTTAATTGATGAAGATTATATGAATATTCATGATTACCATACAACTCACCACATCTCTGACAAATAATCGTAAAAGAATCTCAGTACTATTTAAGTCATTCATGTGTATGGGTTTCTGAAGTAAATTATATATAGACACGATTAAAAGAAACCATGTTGTAGATACTTGTTAGGTAAGAAACCAAGAAGTGCTGGAGCTGAATAGTATAGGAGCCAATTGAAAAATTCCGATGCTTTAAAACATTTAAAATCTGACAATTTTCGAGGCATCCTATTGAAGAAGTATGGTGGATGAATATTCAAAATAAATGAGTCTATATTATCGAGATGTTTTTTAATATTCCAATCACCTGTTTTATTTATCCAAATGTTAATAAATTGCTTCACAACACCCAAAAGCACTGAGTGCATGAATTCTGGGATCACACAGGTTCCCAAATCAATAAATGGTAAATTAGAAATGACAGTTGATCCTTTTACACACCCTTAATATGTATTTTTCCTTCAGTAAAAGCTTTATTACCTTGCTCAATCATTCGTTCAGATGTTCTTAAACAACTTGTTTTCTCTTTAAATAAAAAAACTCTTCTTTTTTTTTTATCCTTGGGACCTTTACATTGTTGAGTCTTAATTTGGCAATGTTGCAGCCAAATTTTCCATTGAAATAAGAAATATTCTGAATTGCTGCTCGAGCTGGAGCATCAGCTATGAACAATGGTGCTACAATCATTGAAGTAAAGGTCTCATTTGTTGTTTTATCAGTCCATTGAATACCCTTCTCGAAACTCTTAATATTTATCACAAACGGGCTTTAAGAAAGTATTCATTAATGGTTTTCTTTGAGTATCATACCACAAACCGACTATAATTATAAATGACTCTCTAAGATATTCAGGTAATTCCGCTATGGTGAACATAAGAGGCCAACAGTGAGTTGTAGCACTTTTCACTAAAGATAAGCCATCTGTATTGAGAATCAACGTCAAATCATATTGGTTACGATCTTTCCTAGAATTAACTCTGATGTATTCGGAACCATCAGTAATATCTGAGATTAATTCACTATGATGAGGTAAAACTTGCAATTTACTGGCCAAGTTTCTATGTTCAAACAGGAATTTTATCTGGTCGATAATATCCAGTTCGTAAAATATGATGTGCCCTCTGTGCTTTTGCATGACGTACATATTCTCAAAACACTATTTTCTTCAGTATAAAACGCACATTTTTTACAATACAAATGTTTGATAATTTTAACAGGTGGAGATATTTTACGAACATAATCGAATAATGTAAATATAGTTTTTGGCATTTTGTTAGGCTTAGGAAGCACTTTTTGAAGTATATTCAAATTTTCTTGTAAAGCAATTTTAGTTAATTTTCGATTAAATATGACTTTAGAACTATATGAACACTTTCCATCACTGTTACCTCTGCATTTAAGTATAATTTGGTAGCATCGTTATTTTTTGTGTGATTATCAGCAATGTTATTGTTATCATTAACATTGCTATCATCATGTCTATTATGATTATTACTATTGTTGCCACTAAAAGTATCATTGCTATTGGTATTAATATTTTCATCATTATCTTCGATGATGTCTTCCCAATCATTCTCATCATTATCTTCAATGATCTCTTCACATCATTCTCACTACTATCATCGATGATCTCTCCACAATCTTTTACACCCCTAAATTCTCTTATTTTTTTTCTGTTTTCTTCATAAATAGGTTTATATTCATCAGACGAAGACAATCTTGAAGTAAGGTTTTCATCATTGGGACTATAATTGTTATCTAAACTTTTGTCATCATGTTGTCGATTTATATTAAACTCAATATCGGTATGATTACTCCTAATCTTTACTCGTTTCTTTGCCCAACGTTGTAATGTTTTCAAAGGAACCTACAAAAAGTTACATGACGTGAATGTATTTGATCGTGAGAGTCATAGATATTAATGGAAAAAATTATTGATGCAAGGCGAAAAATTTTTTTTAATACTTTTAAATATTTTTGACACTTCAGAACTAACAGTAAGTCATGAGAAATGAAATAAAGTGTACGATTGAATTAAAAAAAATGACAGTCAACTTATTTACCAGTATGCTTGAATTTTCTTTCCAAAGTTTATATTTTTTCTTTTCTGGAGATTCTGTTGATTCATCGAAATCAGGATTATTCCTTTTATCGAACGACATATTTCTTTGTGGACTGTAAAAAATAAATTCTAAAAATAAATTCATTCATTTGATGATTAATTTGTTAAAATTTGAATAATTTAAAGTTTGAGATAAATTACTTACCTATCATGAAATATTGAATATAATATATTTTTATTTAAACGATTAGTGTTGTTGAGATGTAATATATTTTTATAATACTGGCTTACGATAGGAGCACGTGATTATCGACATTTGGCGTCATGGCCGTTACATAAAAGCAGAACATTCAAAAACGGAACAGGCACAATCGTTGAAACAAGTGGAATAACTGGAACAAGCGGAACGAAATAAAATGGAATTGGGAAACTCAATGCGAAATTCATTGATATAATGCTGCTGTAAATTCATATTGATTGATTTTAATTAATAATTTACATAATTCAATCGTTCATCTCGTGTTGATTCTAAATTACATTTCATTTTATTTCGCTTGTTCCGGTTATTCTACTCGTTTCAACTATTCTCGCCTATTCCTACTGTTCCGCATTTATGTAACGGCCATGATATCACTTGTTGATTATCACGTACTCGTCGTCGGAAGCCGGCAATTTTTGTGACGCATTTTATGAGTTTATTAGAATAATATATTATTGCATTGTTTATTATTTAAAAAAATAAAGAACAAAATGTATCTTGTGCCATTTGATAAGAAAAATTTATATCATATTGTGATGACATTCTATTATTAAAACAGAAGAAGCTATTAGAAGAAGGTGACAAAGTTCAATTTATTTTAAAAATAAAGTGCATAATGGAATTATATTGAAAAAATCAGGTAATTAAATTACGTATGATAATTATTTATTGTCAGTCATAATGTAATATTCAATATTTTTAATATTTCGATAGATAAAGTAAAAATTGCATGTCCATGAGAATTTTTACGATTTTATTCATTTTTTCATCTTTTGTAGATGACAGAAATTCTCTGATATCTGAGAAGAAAAAGTTAGAACAAGCCTCTTCGAAGAAAACAAATATTGATTTGAATAAATCTAGTTCTTAGGTAAACGAAAACGTATAGCAGCAAAAAAATGGTCTCCTAGAATACCCAAAAAAGAAAAAACAACAAAAAATGATGTTCAGAAAAAAGTAAGTGATCTAATATTGTATAAAAATCGAATATGATACAATTGATGTCTTCTAATTCGTACTATATAAATTGATTGATTTATTACAGCAGAAGAAAATTTTAAAAACAAAAGAAAACATTTCGTCCTCAGAAAGTAGTGAACCGAATGAACCATGTACATCGAAAGTACAAGATATTTCAAAATTGAAGAAAAGAAATGTACCAAAAATGAATATCGGAGAAGCTAGGGATGATTATTCTATTGATACAGCAAAAAATGTGGAGCAAAATCGAAATAAATTAGCACCTGGAGATGAACAACATTTTGATGACATGCAGGATAATTCGCGGTATTGTATACAGGATGATGGTGAAGATGGTATACAAGAAAATTATCAAGATGTGATGAGGAAATAATCAAGATGCTATACAAAATAATGGTAAT